TCCGCTTCTGGTAAACCCATCTCTCTCTCTCTCTCTCTCTCTCTCTGGCGGCATTTCAATACGATCCTAGTTCTTTCTTGATTTTTCGTTGATTTTGATGTGGGATACTGCATTTCCAAGTTAATATGGTGGATTATGTAGCATTTTCATGTTTTTTTTTTCCATTTTAATTTTTATTTATCGCTTGATTTGGTCGAATTGATGAACAATTCATAAAGGGAAATCGCTTGGAAATGGGATCAGTTGTGCTTGATTGGGCACTAATAGAACAAAAGACGGATTTATGTGGAGGATGTTGCTTGAAAAAGTGGAGATTGAAATTCGATACTGAAGTTTTTTAACTGAAAAGCAATGGTAATGTACTCTGCATAATTTGTTAGTCTACATTGTTGGAATTTTTATCTATGTTTCTTAATCCATCAAAAAAAAGGATTGAAAACTGATGCTGTTTTGAAAATAGGAATTCCAGTTATTCAAGTCCTTAGTTTCCACCATTATGAGTGGATGGATGGGAGTATTAAGAAGGCCTTTGATAAATGATGCAAATTAATTTTTGTTTTTTTCTGGTTTTATTTTTTTTACATCAATAAATTTCTATAGGAGTCTGCTTATGCATTAGAACTACATGCTTAATTAATTTAGGTATTTTAAAATGGTCATTCACTGCCTTGCCTCCAAGTCATATTCTTGCTAGTTGCTCCTACAAGACTTCTAAGATCTACACACAAATTGGTATGAAACTAGAATACCTTTGTAAAGCTGAAGCAGCTCAAATACTATGTAGGAAGTCGTGATAATGATTTAATTTCACTATATTGTGAACATCAAATACAGATACGATAAGATGTACAGGGGTTTAGTTTAAAACAAGGACTTCAGTGGGGACTTGTTAGGATCTGGAGCCCGAGGCGGGAAACTCGGACTTGACTGAGTCTGTCAGATACTCTGCCTAATGCAAAGAGAAATGATAAAATATTGGGAACCAGATGGCCTCGACTGGTCCCCATGTTTTTTGGTTCCAGACCCGGCAGCCTGCTGAGTCCAAGTTACTCACGCTCTAACTAGCTGAGCATTGATTTACTGATTTGTAAATTTGAAATTCTATTGTACGATGCACACAATATACCTTGTTGAGGACATTGTTCGATTATATATTGTTCATGTTTCATCTTCCTAATAGCCTTGGTGTTTGACCTGAGATGGTGATTTTCTTCCAGGTTTAACTATAGGCATATGGCCAATACTCTTTCTTTGTACCGGTAAGAAAATCTTAACCATATTATTGGTTTTTTTTCATCGTAGATCCTATTAAATGATTTAATGAAGCCTTTCATTATTATCTAGTGAAAGTGTTGCATTATTATTGTTCACAGAACTGTGAAAAGGTTAGGCATACCCGATGAGAGGATAATACTTATGCTGGCAGATGATATGGCTTGCAATACTAGGAATAGTTATCCTGCGCAAGTTTTCAATAATGAGAATCATCAGCTGAATCTTTACGGTGACAATGTTGAGGTGAGTATTTTCACATATTGTATTTGGAAATTTTTTTTTAAAACTAGAGCATACTGGCCAATGTTTCTCAGTTATGGCCGACCAGAACCTTAACTTTGAAGTAATTGGATCCCTTCAGTAGCTTCATCTGATTCTGAACTACCATGAGCCACCATTGTTTTTAAAACCAAAAAGATATATATATTTTTTAATATAGAAGTGGGTACACAAGAAGGTGATGTTGAAATTTGGATTCACTTCTTTTCAATGTTTTTATGTCATACAGAGAACGTTAGTTTGTGTTCTATGATAATCAATTAATATATATTTTGTTTAATTATTATTCCTGAAAATGGATGGAACCTTGCACGTGGTCTGAAGGGTAACGTTCTGGTCTTACCCTAATAACGCCCTAACCATTTTAACAATTTAAGTAACATTTGTTTGAGGAGTTCTCCTACGGCACTAAGCCTCTAATTAGTTGGATCTTATCTTACCTGCCAAATCACCTATTCTTATTAATTCTTGAACACTTTGATGACACATGCTGCAGGTTGGTGCCTTATCAGTCTCCCACTTGTAGAGTATATTTTTCAGTAAAAGAAAAGAAATCTACTTGTTATTGATACTGCTACTACTATTACCATCTGCTTTTGTTGCTTCACGCTTGAATTGAAACCCATGAGCTGTATAGAGATATTACTATTGAGCATTATTACTAAAAGCCTAGAAACCATGGCACTGATCCCAACAAAAATAAGTTGTGTTGCCAGATAATGGGATCAATAGTCTTCATGCAATTGGTTTATCTGTTGCAGTTTTTCTGAACAGATATTTACTGTCATTTGCCATTGATGGAGCAGAATGGCGGAATAGAATTCGTGTTGCCAACCCCAAATAGTTGGGATAAGGCTTGGATGATGATGATGATATTTCCTGTGATTTGTTGGTTATTTAGGGGAAACACTTTGGGTTATGATAGTTAAATAATATGAAAATATATGGAAATAAAAAAAGAGATAAATTCTTAGATTTGCTCTGGACAATAACCATCAGTGACATTTGCTTCCCTTACAAATTTAAGTTGGCCACCATTTATAAGCAAATGACTTGCACCTGTAATTCATGTATCTTTCTATGAATTGTATTATGAGTTTATCCATTTTTTCTTGGTTGATGGACATTTTCCATTCATTATCTCTGTTCTATTAATTTCAGATTGATCGTCATGTATTTTAATTTGCAGGTAGACTATCGAGGCTACGAAGTAACTGTGGAGAACTTCTTACGTGTCTTGACAGGGCGCCACGAAACTGCTGTTCCAAGATCAAAGCGTCTTTTAAGTGATGAAGGAAGCCATATTCTTCTTTACATGACAGGGCATGGGGGAGATGAGTTTCTTAAATTTCAGGACTCAGAAGAGATTCAGAGTCAGGATTTGGCCGATGCAATAGAACAGATGAGAGAGAAGGGCAGGTATGAAGATATTGTTTCATATTTCCATGTGCCCCTCTTCCTGATTTAGTCACTTATGTTCTTTCTTCTGGAGGGGACTTTCATGCATTTACTGTAGAGTTTTTTATGGTCATATGGGAGATGACAACAGTAACAAGTTTTTTGTTAAGTAATGTTAGTTTTTGTTCTTATACTTTATAATATGTTTTTTTTGTTTTTGTGGGGCAGGCTCCTTATTGACATTTTGCTTGTATTTTAGATTCAAGGAGTTGTTGATAATGGTGGACACTTGTCAGGCTGCTACTCTCTTTTCTCGGGTATGATTCCTGTTCTTTTTCCTCTGTATGGTTACACATAAACTTCTTTCTATTTCAGAGAGAAGAAGCTTCCTTAGAGCTTGTTTTGCATCCAAAACTGTATTGCCACAGATTTGTAAGCTAATGATATGGATTTAGATTTGGATTTTTATTTGTTATTGTATACTTTGATGAGTTACATAATGACATTTCAGTCATAAAAATTTATCTTCTCAGTCAGTTGTTTACAGTTCTTGCACTTTTTTATTTTGGTATTTAGAAAAGATCTTGTTGAATTCTAACTAAAAGAAATCTGGCAGAAACTTCAACAGTTTTTAAATATTTTTCAAGTATACTTTCAAGAGGTTTCAATGATCCTTTTAGGTCCTTGCATTTCTCACTTTCATAATTTCTTCACATTCTCATGTTTTCTTTCTCATGGCCCTTATATTTCTCTTTCTAAGAATTTCTTCACATCCTCATGTTTTCTTTGCTTGATGTTTTAAAACTAATGGGATGATCCTCATTCCCTAGAATATGATCTGTTTTTGGCATCATAAAATGGATTTATGTTATAATATATAGTCTATGCTGGAAGAAGTAGTTTGAAGTTTCATATAAAAATGTCCTAGCAAATAAATGTGTCTTCAAGTAGGTTTTTATATATGCATATATATGGCAAAGTCGTAAAAACGCCTATAGGCGAAGTGCTACAGTGCTTCGCCCCCGTCACAAACATGCTATGTCTGTGACGGTTTTGAGTAAAAACCACCACGGACCTACGGTCCCCCCATATTTTTTGCTTCAAATTTGCATGAAAAAGATCCCGTCACGGACTTGCTATGTCCATGACATACTGCCCGGACCTTGCTATGTCCGTGACAGACCGCCACGGACATGCTAAATCCATGACAATCTTTAATCCACGTCTTCGAAAAAATCGGACGACGCCAAGCCT